GGAATGCTGCTCCCCTGTTTCAAGAATAAGGACCCAGAGGTGTAAATATTTACTGAACAATTCAAATTCTAGTCTACAAACTATCATACTCTATGTGCGCAAACATTTAAATAAATGTTAAAACTTGTAATTAGTGTAAATAAAAGGTATGAATGTGTGGCGTTTTTTATACGTTTTTATTGAACGATTTTTAATAGGGGTGTTAACGCAACGGATAGAAAATACCAAAAATATTTTCACGCGTATAAATTCGGGTTATTGTTTACTTGTTTTTTTGTCCATTAATTATTGACCACCAATAAAAGAATTTGGTGTCCGAGAAATAAATTTTATTTAACCTGATGCACGTTATTTATAAAGATAAGTGGTACCCACGGTTCGATGATGTGTGTGTGTGTGTGCGAGTCTATAATGAAAAGGGAACCCGGAGATATTTTGGCAATGGGTACTAACTGCTTCCTAGGTCAGTTGTCTGACGGCTTTTCAAACTCGAGACGTCAAGGCTAAAACCGATCGAATGGATGATGGAATAGCGCGGTAAATAATAAGAGAATCGGTTTATAACGATTTTGATGGGATGCTTTTTGGTCATTCCAGTGGCGTCAGATGATTTTTTTTATCACGTTGGTACTATTTGTTGAATGAATATGACTAAGAAGTTTGGATCAAAGCTGGCACAGAGCTATGTTGGTTTTCAAGTGGTGAATATCACGAGTTGTATATGTATTATATTTCCGAGGAGAAAATTGATTGAATAACTGAATATTCCATCACCGGTAGCAGATTTTTTTAAAAACTCAATCAAATTTTTGATAAAGGAGGCCCTCTTTTGTTAATCTAAGCGAAAAGCAACATACGCCTCACAGACACACATACAAACAACATCGGTTCGTTCGGCAGGGCTGGGCAATTTTCTATTTTTTTTTTTTGGGGCAGCTCAAAATTAGCCAACACAAAAGCATCCGAATGCTACTGAAAGACCATCATCGCAGGTCCGGCCAGTGCAACCAACATAATACGAAAAAAAAAAAGAACAGAAGAGAAAAAACTAGTTTCGCTCCGGAATAATTAAATTTGACTGACGGGGCCCCGGGTCTATACCTAACGGGATTTTTTTCCTAGGGCCGTGGTGGCTATTAATTCTTTTTTTTTTTTTTTTTCGATGCAGATTTTTCGAACATCAGAGTTTTGTGTATATGTGGTGGGGAACGGAAATGTTTTCGGTAATTTTTAAAACAGATTTTTCCCTGGAACAAAATCTTTTTTTTCAGTGAATTAGTTGGGATATCTCGTTGTTTTGTTATTTTCTAGGAAAAACTTACTTTCTACAACTTTGTAGGTATTCAGTTCTACAATTTTCGTCTATTCTTGCTTTGACTCAAAAAATATCAAGGATAGAGAGCGCCTGTATCAGCCTTAGAGCAGGTAAAGCGCTATCCTACGGACATCAGGAGTAGGAAGCCAGTTTTTAGCAGGTGTTTTTACACGAAATGACAGGTAAAGCATTGAATCTATACCGCCTGGAAAAAAAACGGCTTCAAATTCCAACTTCATGTTCCTACTCCTCTAACCTAGGAAATTATCTGCTCTAAGGTATCAGCAATCATCAGTACTACTTGTCAGGTTCCGAATCTCTGGCGGCGTCTGTTATGAATTTCTTATTTCCTCGAAAGAATTTTAAGATTGTTTTAAAAAGCTTTATATTGTTTTTGACTGTTTATCGTGTGCAGGTCCATAATTCTCGTGTGTCGTAATGTTTTTTAATTGTCGTCGAATGTCCTTTTACAATTTTAACTTTTGTGTCAGATCCTGATAAGTAGTACTGATGATGGCGAAAGCCGTAAGCGCTCTACTACGCTGATTTTCAATAAATTGGATTGTGCATGAAATACAACTTAGTTTCTTCCTTCACATATAAGCAGCCACATTTCCTTGGTTCTTTTTTTGCCTATTGAAGAGAATTGAGTCCTCAACAAACTTTATTCAAATGAGTTGTTTTTACTCTTACTCCCATTAGTCTTTTCAGATACCACTCCACCTTTCAATTCTAACTCGATAACTGAATTCCTAAAAATTCCCACATTGCAAAGAAAATTCCTGAAAAATTATTAGCAAGAAAAAAGAAAAATCGCTAATCTAACTGAACAGCTTTCACACCGTTAAAACAAGCCAAGACCAAGGTCAATATCAATAAACCGCGACTTTTATATCAAGCGTATGTAACCCGGTAGGTATTTAATGTGTGTCGTTTATGTAACTGAAAAAATTTCCTCTGAAATGTGAAGCGGTTACCCAATAAATTCAGATCTTTTCAAAAATGGTAATGCTACCACTTGAACTGGTCTATAATTAAAAATGAATAATCGCCGTGCCATAACCAATGGTTAATTGTATGTATGGTAAAGTTTAATTGGTATATTCTACACGTGGTAGGTGGTAGGTTGAGAGTTTAGCAGGATCTATTAAAGGTAATTTTCATTGATAAATTGGTATTTTGTACTTAGCCCTTAAAATTGAGAATAACAAGAAAAGAGCTTAATTGCTCTGAAAAGGGTTTCTCTTGGGTTTGTTTTTGTGTTCTGGTAGCTCTCTAATGGAGCATGAAGACATTAAATTTCTGACCCAGGAAGTTTTTTATGATATTTTGTTGATTTGTGTGTTTTTCCAAAATTCTGGAAATCTTTCCTTCTCTGAGACATTTACAGAATGTTTCTTCGATTATTTCCTCTCCTACTTTAAACTTCATGCTTCATGTTCGCTCTTGTCGGCGGATTCTAGTTGTTCTGCTTTTAGGACTGATTCCCGCAATTCAGCTTTCGAGCCTGAATCTGTCATTGATTGGTTTTGAAGTTTACAATAAAAGTTCTCTACAGTTTCTGTGATCCCATAGATATCATTTTCTGACAATTTCTCTTACTATGACTTACAACTCAACTCTTGATTTGATCGATTCATATACCTGGAGAACTCTAATATAGGAAATGTCTTTGATACCTCTTTCAATTGATTCTGATTTTCCTTTCCTGATGGTCTTCTTTAATGCCTTGTTGAGATTTTTATCATGCCGGTGTTTCTTCGTTCTACACTAAGTATTACTACTTTTAGGCTAAATTTTATCTTTGGTGTCCAAAAACTTTACTTACGGCTGTTGAAATAGAAAGGGATACTCACACGGTTTGTCCTCTTTGGTTTCGCTTTCCTAACTCTCAAACTTTTTTATCCACGTCCCTTCAAGTTTTACATTTCCCAGTTCTTATATAAACTCATTTCAAGTAACCCTATATTATACCCTGATTTATTACCATGTAGTTACTAAAAATAATAATATGACATGTCTTGTAAAAATTATGTCCATATTCGGCACCGCAGCCTTGATATTTCCTGTAGATTGCACCGGTGCACACATGCACAATAAACCATTTTTTTACACACGTGTCCCGTCTGTTCGTCTGTCTAGAGCCTATTGCACGAAAACGTCTTTAATGTAAATTAATAATATTAAAAAAAAAATAGTAATTACTATTACTAACGATACGCGTTTGCAGTTTTCATTACGGAACAATGATAGATATATTAATAGAAGCGAAAACAAAATTATTATTGCATGTTTTCGACTTCATCGGAATGTTCACGTATTTGTTTAATTTATTAATTAATTAATAAGAGTTTCATGTTAATTGGATTTCTTTTTTTTTTCCTAATGGCATTCAGAAAAGTTTAAACAATGTAAAAGTTTCAAATTTAGCTTCAGTAGGTATACTTGTTTCAGGGAGCTACAATAACTTACAATAATCTAAAATATTAATTTCCTTACATTAATTATTTTTGCCAATCCATTCAGCTTAATGCATAAGGAGGCTTACCAAAACACTCTCAAATTGTAATTTAATTGAAAATATTATTACTTTTTCCTATAACATCATCTAATCATTTAGGAAATCAATAAATTTAAAAAACCGTCGATTATTATGTAAACAACTTCATTATCTTGAACTAATTACCATAGTACAATTAATTGTACGTTTCTCACCTAATTATTTGAGCAATAAGTAGATGCTCACCTAAAAATTAGAAGACTTGTTCTCGACTAAATTATAGGTGGTCTGACAAAAATTTTAACTTTTAGAGATCATCTTAATAATTATTCTTTTAATAAATCTTACAAGATTCTCTTTGATGGACAGCTAGAATTTTTAATGCTTTGCCCGGGGCTGAAAATGTGTTTGGCTTTTGATCTTACATTGCGATAAGATTTGAGTATTCTTACATTAAAAGGATCACAAGAAAAATCTTTCCAGCGCTCGAGTAAAACAAGAAAACCGAACAACCTTGGCAATCAGGCTAATGCTAGCGATACAATAAACCATTTATTTTCTTTAATTCTTAGTCTAACACGTTGAATTCAGATTAGAGACCGATTATAAGGCAAATTAATACGTTACGGTATTATTTAAATGTCGGTTTAAGAGGACTCGATCTTAGGGTCCGATTATGGTACTAATTATTTCTGCTAAGATTCTCTATTTCCTATCCATTTACATACCTTGAACACTTTATTCAATTATGTATTTGTTTGCTTCTTCACTTGTAGATGCTTTTACTGGCTAGTGGTTTTTGAACTAGGTACCTACGTCTTGAACAATACCTAAAGATGTTCCATCAAAAGTTTAAAACATCTGATGTTAGATTGGTAGTCTTAATAGAACCGGGAAGTAAAAAGAAAATCAAGCGGAGATTAGAGAGAGAACCCGTGCAAGAGAGGCAAAAGAGACATTGAACATGACCATGGTATTGAATTTTCGAAGGTCGTGGAATGGGTTCGTTTGTTTCTTTGTTGTTGGGTTCCAACCTGGGCTTTGTCTAATAATAATAATCATAATAATATGATAATCTAACGCGCCTAGTCACACAGAAATGGAAATGTTAATTACGCACCCATTACGTCAATGAATGTTCTTTTCACCAAGAAAAATGTACAATTAACAATTTTTTTTTTCCAGGTATTCAGTTCCAAAGCTGAGCTACAGCTGCACACGCAGGCGCACATGCGCGAAGCCAAACCTTACAAGTGTTCGCAGTGTTGCAAAGCCTTCGCCAATAGTTCCTATCTTTCACAACACACCCGAATTCACTTGGGCATCAAACCGTACAGATGCGAAATTTGCCAGAGGAAGTTCACGCAGCTCAGCCATCTACAGCAACACATCAGGACGCATACCGGTGACAAACCTTACAAGTAAGTTGGAATTGGTTGTTGATTAATTTTAATGAATGTGCCCAATTATTATTTGGAATGGACCAAGAGGATAAGACAGATGTAACCGTCAATGATGAAATGTTTTTTTTTTTTGCACACGTGAAGCTTTTCCACGGGATTTGTAGAATGAGCATCACTGTGTCATATCACTCGTTTTACTGATAGGTCGTTCTCTAAGAAAGGTGTCAATTTGGCCATTAATATTCTAAGCATACAGGTGGTGTGGATACAATTGACAATGACAGACAAATAGCAATTTATAGTTCTATCGTTATTTCTAAATGGAGGCTAACAGTAGGTGCGGATTTGCCATTAGAATTGCATGAGATCCAAATGTTAAATAAGAAAGTTGTATCCAGAAATGTTTGGAGAATGTCAAGTTAATATCAACTTTAGACATTAATTTGAGTTTTCGAAAAAAGTCAAATTCGAATAAAGTAGGTGGGTACCAGGCCAACTCTCCAGCCCTTCTCTAAAATCCGGAAAATGGTCCGTGCTTTTTTCTTGGACAAAATTATCAAAATTAATGTATGGCTAGAAACAAAGGCTCGCAAAGATCGAGAAAGATACGTCAACAAAAGAAGGTCCACTCAAGCACAGATCAAAAGAGCAAAAAACGACTTCTGGAAAGAATCATGTGATCAAGTTAATAGAAGCTTGGGAAATTCTCCAGTAAACAAAACCTGGAAACTTCTAGACAGCATGGGAAGGGAAAACACTGATTCAGACCTTATAGTCCCTAAAAAATGGACATATATACTACTACAGAGATCGAGGGGTGAACTACTAGTGGAAATTATTATACATTTTTTTGGGAATCACATAGTTATCAATCAGGAATACATAGAAATCACTTATGAGCCCTTGGGAATAACCTAGGATCCGCTAAGAATCTCCTAGGACCCCATGGGAATCACTTAGGAATCCATTGGCAATCGCTGAAAAATCATCTCATGCTAACCCAGAAATCGCATATCATACACTTGGCCAAAGATAAAACTGGTACGCATTTTCCTATTTTACTGTATTGTGTAAATCGACCTTTTTTATCACCTCAAAAATGACAAAATGAGTCAAGTCAGTGTCATCTTTGAACCAAACATTACATAAAAACAATGACATAAAAACATGTTGCATTTACTTTTGTTCAGCTTTGACATTGACAAAAACTGTCTGACTTAAGTTTTTCAGAAGAGACTTTTTGTTGTTAAGCCTGACTCACACTAGGCAAATTTGAAAAATATATATTGCCTGTACCAGTTTTATGTTTAGCCAAGTGTACAATTTAATCGATACAGCGTACTGGTCAATTGTGTATTTGCCTTTAAGACTAAGTTTTAGGCAACGAGTGCTAGACAATTTGTAATGAATTTGATATCCCAAAGAGTTTTCCAATAACTGAGCCAATAACTGAACCCGAGATGAAGATTAGGTCTGTTCTCACAAAAGTCACAAACCATTCAGAGCATTTTTCATTGGTGCAAATCGTCTACAACTAGTTTTTTGACTATTTTCAACCAATGAAATTCGCTCTGACTGGTTTGTGATTTCTGTGAGAACAGACTTAAAGTATGACAATGTTGTAGAGCATAGAAATGAAAACATGAATCTTGAAACATCTCTCGAATCCGATTTGCCAAACGAAGACACAGAATTTCTTCATACATCAGGGTTTAGCAATCCGCTACAATTCAAAGATTATTCAGAAATCAACTTTAATTCGGTTCTTTTCAGAGAAGCAGGGACGTTTGTCGATCAAGTTTTAAGAGCTATGGGAATGTCCCTAAGAAAATAAAAAGTCGGGAATCCAAGGCAATAAAAACTTGAAAAGGGAAAGGGGAAAGTAGAATAAATACTAGACAATGCGAGAAGCAGAGACGATAGCACATCTGAATCAGAATCAGATATAAGTTTGTCGAGTGAAACCCGAACTGAAGATGTCTCTGATTCAGATGAACATCCTAGTGAAATCAAAGAAATATCCATTATTTTAGATCCATATTATGCAGTGTAGACACGCAATGGTATCTAAGGCTCAACAACTACTTATACCTACAACAAAATCGGTGTGAGTGTGGACAACCATGAAAATAAAAGTTGCTAACTTTTGAAAGAGTTGCAAATACAGAAGTTGCCAATTTTTCAGTGGAAACGTGTTTTTATAAGAGACATTTATTTTGGTCATATCAATGCGAAGCTTAACAATTAGACATCGTTTTTGTAATAAAATCAGCTGGAAATCGGATGATTGTAAGAAATCAGGAATCCGGGCCCAGAGGGCCCGGATTCCGAACTCACGATTCGATAGTATTGTCTATCTATTTTATATGGACGATACTATCGAATCGTGTGTTCGGAATCCGGGCCCAGGTAATCCATCGAGAATGATATAGGAATCCCCAAAAAAAATGGAAATCACCTGGTAATCATACAAAAATATCTGAAAATCATTAGCAATCAGTCGTAATTCTTGGCATAGGAATACATGAGATTCATTGATCAGTGATTGCCAAATATGGAAATCATTGTACATTTGTACGCATAGTGGTTGACCCCTCGATAGAGATCTACTAACAGAAGATAGACCACAATTTCAAACTGGTGGAATTGAAAACGACGAGATAAACTCCTGCACCCCAGAAATATCACTACGGGAAGTACCTACAAAATGCATAAACTCATACGAAAAACGGAAAGGCTCCTGGACCTGGAAACCTAAATATCGAACTGGTGAAAGCCGCCCCAGAGTAAAACTAATAGAGAATGTCTTCGAGGAAAACAACCGCCACTAGACTGGAGGGAAGGGTTAATCTTATTGATTTTCAACAAAGGGAACAGATTACATTGTTGAAACTATAGAGGGATCACCGTCACAAGCCCAGTAGCCCGATTATATGAACGTATTCTGAAAAACAGAATAGAAATCGAGTTCTAAGAATCAGAGGAACAAAATTGTTTCAGGGCAGGACGTTCGTGTATAGATGAAGTGTTAACTCTTAATCTTATTGAAAAAAGAGTAGAAAGAGGTCGACAAGTTCACCTGACCTTTGTGGACTTAAAGAAATCCTATGACTCGGTGCCACTAAGTAAGTTGTGGCCAGCAATACGTCTCAATGGGATAAGCAACTCATACCTATTTGAGGTTTGGTTTTAACTAATATATACGTTTGTTATCAATGTCTGACAGAAAGTTTTGAAAAAAGTTGTAAGTTTTGTAAAAAAGAACTGAAAGAGTCTTTTGACTGTACAATCTGCAAATCATCTTTCCATCGAAGCTGTGGGATTCAGTGAAGTTAATTCAGAGAATCATATGGATAAACAAATACTAACTGAAATTAAATCTTGGTTTCAAAAAGATTTACTATCCTTTGATGAAAAGATTGCAGCAAAAATGGACTTAGAAACTAAAGAGGTAAAGGTAAAGGAAAGCATATCGTATATGTCGAGGAAATTTGAAGATCAATGTGAGTTGTATGAAAAAAGTATGGAAGAAACTAAACGAATAAGACGAGATAATGTGCAAATGAGAGAAATATTACAAGCACTTGAATATAAAGTAAAAACAATGGAGCAAGAGGAAAAGCAAGATAATATTTCGGTAACTGGTATTTCAGTACAGGAATATCATCATCTATCAACGAAGTCATAGGAGACCTATTGGAAGATATGGGCTTGCAACTAAATGTGGGTGATATAGAAGAATGTCGCAGAATAAATACATAAAGAGAAAAACAACCCATAATAGTGAGATGAAGGTATAATCAAGAGTTATTCAAAGCTGCTCATGACTTTAAAAAAATCAAAAAGCTTAAATCAGCTTATTGTTTATATAGAAAAGTATATAGGTATAAAGGCTTTTTTATATAGGTATGAAGGCTTTTTGCAATCGATGATATCAAAAAATTTGAACAAACATTTAGTTAAGTTAATTTTGACAGCTCAGTCAAACAAGATAGACAACCTTCCGAAAAGTTCCCAACAACAAAAAGGTCTAAGGCTAAGGCAAGGCTAAGGCAAGGCTAAGGCAAGGCTAAGGCAAGGCTAAGGCAAGGCTAAGGCAAGGCTAAGGCAAGGCTAAGGCTGCTCTCTTGATCCACTGCTTTTTAAAATTTATATTGAGAATGTCCTAAAATCTCTTGGAAGAGGAAATTAAGCGGCATGGGCTTACGATAGGATAGGATATGCTGTTTACTCTCTCTTATACTGACGACCAGGTAGTTATAGCGGGAGATGAAGATAAAGAAGACACGAGTTAGATGCTGCCAAACTCCAACAAGAATATGAAAACTGCCAAACTCCAACAAGAATATGAAAATAAATATGGAGTAAACGGAGTATATGGCAGTTGGCGACGAATTGGCAGATATCTTAGTTAGACTTTGCTTAGATCTAGAACATTGTGTCGGAGAAATGCCCTTCGTTCAAATATCTTGGTGTTACCCTTTCTTCCAATGGTAAAACTGCCTTAGACATCTCGAATAAAGTTGGTTAAGAGCGAAAAATTATTTTCCAACTTAATTTCTTATTATAGAACAATAAAATAACAGGAACAAACAAGAAAATAATATACTATTTCATTGTTGAAATTATAATTACGTATGCCTCAGAAACCACGGAATTAACAAAAAGGGACAGGTAAAAGCTCTGGGCTGTGGAAGTGGATTACTGGAGAAGAAGCAGCAGAACGTCCACTAGATCATATTAGAAATGCAGAAATAAGAAGATCGATGTAAGTAGATTGAACTATTATAGACACGATTGAATCCGAAAGATTCACATGGCCATCTCGAAAAAATGGACACGAGCAAAGAAAGTTTGGGTTTTGATCCCACCAGACCGCAGAAACCGCAGTAGACCACCAAGAAGCTGGAAAACTGACGTCATGGAGGCCATGGAAAAGAGAGGCCTTCAAGAACGAGACTGGTGGAACCGAGACCTATGGAAAGTGAGAAGCGAGAAACGACGACAGTTGTAAACCA